TTTAGCAAGGGCCACAGGGTGCCCAGAGCTTCTTGCTGTAGCGCGGCAGAGGGCAAGGAGTGCAYGCAGGAGCAGCGTAGGGTCGTCCAAAGGTGCAGAGGCCCCCCGAGCCCAGCGTGGCYCCGGCGCCGTAGAGGCCCCCCAGGCCCAGGGAGCCCGCAAAGGCGGGAGCTCCAGACGAGCCCACCACGGCCTGCTGTGGGAAGGAGCTGAGGATGGGGCCGGGGAAGGTGACCACCACGGGGGGCGGCTGGATGAGGGCCGTGGAGTCGGGGCACTGCCGCGCACACAGCTCGTTGCAGCTCTCGGCRATGGGCTGCGGGCACGCGATGCTGCTTTTGGGCACGCTCAGGTCGGAGCAGGACATCTTGCTGGGCTGAATGGAGGTCTGTGAGAGGAAGGAGAGGGGAAGAGAGAAGGAAATGCCTCAGTGCCAGGTGGAGGGAGGCGTGCTAGAGGAGGCCGAGTGTCCGCACACTTACCTTCTGTGTGAGGAGGAGGCGTCAGGAGAAGTGTTTGTGGAGCCTGGCCCACGCAGAGCTTTTATAGAGACCTTGTGAGCTCAGAGCCACAGTGCCAGCCCACAGCGGCACCACCGCGTGCAGCTGCTGACGTGGCTGCCCAGCTGCGGACCCCTCCATGACTCACAGAGCCTTGCTGCGTGACGCATGCCGTTCACAGAGCTCCACAGAGATTTCTGCTTTCTGGTCAGCAGGAGCTCGCGCGGGCCCTCATTAGAGGAGTACGCGGAAGCAGAGGGTCCTGCTTATTCAGCTGTTCACTGCACTCCTCCCTCCCAGCCATGGGCCACCATCTGTGTCCCATGGCAGCAGCTCCACAGGCTCATCCCAGGCACCTCGTATTATACATCTCCCTGCTTCTTGCACTAGGAAGGCCAACAGAAAAGGGAGAGCTTTGCCTCTTCTTCTACCACATATGAAGAGCTGCTTTGAGGAGCGTACAGGAAGGAGGAGCGGGTCTTGCAAGCACTGGAACTTGCTGAGTAGTGAGTTCATCAGTGGCAGCCTTGGATTTGGGTATGTCGTAACCTGGTGCCTCTCTAGATAACCACCACATTGCATA